TACTAAACTGACTCTGCCGCTCTTGCTAAAACTGGACTAAGGCCAAGGACAAAGGCCAAGTTCGAGGCCCTGTTGAGAAGAAGCTCAGAGGCGTCAGAAAGTCTTTGTTGCCCCTATCACCTCCGAACCTCCGCTCTGTGGGAAGGGCATGGCTGTGGCTTGGGTCCGGGAGACCTACTCCAGCCTTTCGTGTGCATCCTTTCCTCTAAACCTGGCAGTCAGTCACCAAGTAAGTGATAATGATCACAGCATTAGGCTTGTTAGTGCTGTAATTAACCAGCAAAGACATGGTTAAGGTTACGCAGTAGATGAGGAGATACCAGAGGTTTGATATGCTGGGACAGATAGGTAGCAAGGCCTGCTATTACTGTCCAACCCCCTGCCTTCCTCTCAGCATTAACCTTGGCTCCCCCCTTCCTCCGCCCCCTTCCCGAAGTATTCTTCAGTTTTGCTGAATTAAATATAGGTTTAGACACACCATGTTCTGTCAGCTCCAGGCTTTTGCACATGCTTCTCCCTGATATACCCTTCCCCTTCGCCCAGTTCAGGAGTCACCCCGTGTGGTGTAAGGCCTGAAATGAAGGTCCAGTGTCATGTGTGCCTTGACATCTGGTAAAATCCAGAGGGCCCCAGATGGCCTACCTGCAAGTCCCTTCCCCACCCTGCTTTCTCATATCAGGTCCCTCAGCCAAACGACCTTCTATGTGGCGGGGACCGGGCACAGTGCCTACCATCCCTGAGTAGTGGGCTTCAGTTCCCTGCCAGCCCTCGGAATTATTCAAACAGGCAATCACCTCCTGCCACAGGGACCAGAGGTCACCCCATCCTCTTGTTACTACACAGCCTGCCTCTGCCAGCCCCTCCTTGTCATTCCATTTCCAAGTGCAGCCCCACATGGCCCGCATGAGGCAGTGCCCTCCTCCCCAGGCTGGGAGTGCGTGTGGCTAAGAATCTGCCATCAGTCTCACCTGCCCAGTGTCGTGTGTAGTGTACTGTGTCGTCCCCATGACCCTAGCGGGGAATCCTTCCCTCACCCACAAGGTGAGAGGCAGTGATCAAAACACCTCACCTCCCTGGTCTGGCTTAGCTGCCACTTCCTCCATGTGCCCACACTCTGTCACCATCACTCATTGCATGGTTTGACCTCACTAAAATGTGAGCCACTTGCAGCAGACGTTGTGTCCTAGTCATTGCTAGCACAGAACCTTCCGTGTGCTCCAAAAGATTTGTTGAATTAAAGAATGAATGAATGGTGTTAGTTATATTTCTGAGTGTCTAAACACCCACTAACCTCTTAGATCCTAAAGCATTGACATTTTACTTGTGATGTTTTCTTAGATTTTTGGATGCATAGAGGTACATTTTGCCTATTGTATATATGTTTAAATTTAGAGGAAAATTTTTTGCTTTCACTACTATGTTGTTTTCCAGTCAGTGCATAGCTGGCAGTTGGCTGAGGACAAGCTGACAGGCTCGCCTGGCCTGCTGTGTCTGTGTGTTATTCCATTAAATAGTTAATCCTGTTTCCTGGCCATCCCTTCTCTCAGAATAGCCCTTCATTAGAACCCTTTTGTCCCTGGCCCCCAATGGATCCTAACTCTGGCCAGTAAGAGACTAGGGCAACAGTTCTCAACCTGTGGGTCGCGACCCCTTTGGGGGTCGAACGACCCTTTCACAGGGGTCGCCTAAGACCATCGGAAAACACGTATATAATTACATATTGTTTTGTGATTAATCACTATGCTTTAATTATGTTCAATTTGTAACAGTGAAAATACATCCTGCATATCAGATATTTACATTACAATTCATAACAGTAGCAAAATTACAGTTATGAAGTAGCAATGAAAATAATTTTATGGTTGGGGGTCACCACAACATGAGGAACTGTATTAAAGGGTTGCAGCATTAGGAAGGTTGAGAACCAGTGGACTAGGGCTTTGTGCAGCTCAGCCCAATCAGAACATGCTGCTAATTTTTGACCATTCATACCTTTTTTAAATAATGAGAGAACAGATTTAAATGGAGAGAAGTGGGAACATTTGGTTTTTTTACTTTGATTATTTGAGATCTTAGGACCAGAATATATTACAGAGAGAAAGAGAGAGAGTGTGTCAAGAAAGGAGAAAGGAACAGAGGGGGGAAGGAGGGAGAGGGAGGAGGGAGGGAAAGAGAGAAAGAAAGAAGGAAGGTAAAAAAAGAAAGGAGGGAGGAAGGGGAATATGGCCTCAATATATTACAGAGAGAAAGAGAGAGAGTGTGTCAAGAAAGGAGAAAGGAACAGAGGGGGGAAGGAGGGAGAGGGAGGAGGGAGAAAGGAAGAAGGAAAGTAAAAAAAGAAAGGAGGGAGGAAGGGGAATATGGCCTCGCCCAGTGCCTGGCTCTCAGTCCAGCTCTAAAGGCTTGCACACCTCATGGTGATTTCTAAAGAACCATCCTGACAGCGGGCCTGGAAAATTTCTTAGGGCATGCCCACTCCCCCATCTGCACAATTGAGGATTTGGTGGTAGTTATTAGTGAATCTGTCCCTGTAGCAAACTGAAATGCCTTTTGTCCATTTTGGATTCATTCTGTAGTCCAGGCTATATTATTCCTCTCCCTTTCCTTCTGTCCACTTCAGCACTTAATTTCCTTCAATTATTAATAAACATATCCTTAATAATAACTTTCTGATATTTAAATTATACTTACAGACTTTATATTGAAATTTTAAAGTAAGGAATTATATTGTATTTACAAGATAATTATTAAAGACTAGAGGCCCGGTGCATGAAATTTGTGCATGGGGGGTGTGTCCCTCAGCCCATCCTGCACCCTCTCCAATCTGAGATTCCTCTCACAATCCAGGACTGCTGGCTCCCAACCGCTCGTCTGCTTGCCTGCCTGATTACCCCTAACCGCTTCTGCCTGCCAGCCTGATTACCCCCTAACCACTCCCCTGCCAGCCTGGTTGCCCCTAACTGTCCTCCCCTGCAGGCCTGGTCGCCCCCAACTTTCCTCCCCTGAAGGCCTTGTTCCTCCCAACTGCCCTCCCCTGTAGGCCTGGTCCCCCCCAACTGCCCTCCCCTGCAGGCCTGGTCCCCCCCAATTGCCCTCCCCTGCAGGCCTGGGCTGGTCCCCCACAACTGCCCTCCCCTGCTGGCCATCTTGTGGTGGCCATCTTGTGTGTTGGAGTGATGGTCAATTTGCATGTTACCTCTTTATTATATAGGATTGTCTTTGCAAAATCTGACTATGTTGAATTAATATAGAATTCTGCTACTTATAATGGAAAGGGGGGGTGAAGAGGGCACACATGTGAAAACACTTTGCAGACTGTAAATTATTTTACCAATCCTATATAATAAAACCCTAATATGCAAATCGACCAAACGGTGGAATGACTGGTCACTATGAACTGACCACCAGGGGGCAGATGCTCAATGTAGGAGCTGCCCCCCGGTGGTCAGTGTGCTCCCACAGGGGGAGCCCCACTCAGCCAGAAGCCGGGCTCATGGCTGGCGAGTGCAGTGGAGGTGGCGGGAACCTCCACTAAGGAGCAGCGAGCTGAACGGTAGGGAGCAGCAAGCAGGTGGGTGGTAAGGAGCGAGGGGTCCCAGACTGTGAGAGGGCACAGGCCTGGCTGAGGGACCCCACCCCCACCCCCAGTGCACGGATTTTGTGCACTGGGCCTCTAGTATAACATAATATGGTTATTGTTACTTGTGTTAGGTGGCAAATGCATTTCGTCTCAGGGCTTCTCTTGCCTTCCACTAAGGCATTCTGAAGAATGCAGAGAGAATGGTAGCTATTCCTTTTATCTCATCCTAAAGGGGGGAAAAAGGGTCATTTCCATTGACTGTCATAAAAAGGATAAGTAACAAAGTGTGCTTTGTTTTTAGGGAAAGAATATGGCAAAGCTGATGCAAGATGGGTTAATTTTGAGATTTTGTGCACCAGGCCTCTAGTATAACATAATATTGTTATTGTTACTTGTGTTAGGTGGCAAATGCATTTTGTCTCAGGGCTTCTCTTGCCTTCCACTAAGGCATTCTGAAGAATGCAGAGAGAATGGTAGCTATTCCTTTTATCTCATCCTAAAGGGGGGAGAAGGGTCATTTCCATTGACTGTCATAAAAAGGATAAGTAACAAAGTGTGCTTTGTTTTTAGGGAAAGAATATGGCAAAGCTGATGCAAGATGGGTTAATTTTGACCCAACCATTGTGTCTGTGGAAATTCTGACTGTTGTCCTGGATGGGTGTCTGGCATTGGTCCTCATGTACGCCATAGTCAAAGAGAAATATTATCGGTAAGTGCTCTGCTCCTATCCTGCTGAAAAGAGGAGAATCATTAGCAGTCCCAGTGCTTACGTGACATTTGAAGGAGATGATGATCACATTTCTTGGTTAGACAAAAAGTAGAGTAGAAACAAAAATTGTTTCTTATTAGATAAAGATCATGGTGCCAGTAGGACCATTTCAAATAGTTCAAAATAAAACATCTGAGAAATATGATTGAGGGAACAACCTAGGCACTGTATAGGCAAGCCTGGTGTTAGCAGCACTGGAGGATTTGCACCGATATTCTGGAGGATAGGGTAATATTTCCATCCTCTCCCCGATCCCCAAATCACTCTAGAAAACTCCTATTCCACTTGCTACAAAGTACATTCTCTTGTGTGATTCTGAGTTAGACATGCCAGATAAGTAAGAAATCTTTCTAGGGTATTGAGGATAAGAGGAAGGCAGAAGCATGGGGAGAGGAAGGAGAAAGGTGGATGACTCACCATCCATCAGTCAGACTCTGAGACTTTCAACCACCCTTCCTCCCTTTTCCTTCCTTTCCTCCTTAAGGACAGAGTGACCTGGGGTAAATAGATTGCTAACCTGGGGATGAGTCCCTGAAACAACGTCAGGCAGGTGCAGTTACATTCAGCGTTCTACTATCTTGTATTGAATAAGTTGTATTTATTTAAAGCTTCATCATAAAATTTCAGATTTGAGAGACCTCAAGGGTCATTTAATCCACTTTTCCCCCACCCAATTTTACATAGATTCTCAGCAGTAAAAATTAAATTTCTCCTCGGTACCTTGACATGTCTTTGACTCCAGAGTCTTGATTGTAGACTTACTACATGCACCCATTTGTTTATTATTTCAAACATTTATAATATCTGCATTGTTGAGTATTTACTTTGTGCCAGGCAAGGTGCTCAGCCTTTTATCTACATGTCTCATTTTTTAATAATACTCATATTTTTAAAAATATATATATATTTATTTATTATTTCAGAGAGGAAGGGAGAAGGAGAGAGAAACATCAATGACAAGAGAGAATCATTGATTGGCTGCCTCCTGCGTACCCCACACTGGGGATCAAGCTTGCAACCCAGGCATGTGCCCTGACAGGGAATTGAACCGTGATCTCCTGGTTCACAGGTCGACGCTCGACCACTGAGCCACACTGGCTGGACCATATCTCATATATCTCCAAAAGGTTATTTGAGAAAGGGACTATTATCCCTTTTACAACAGGTGAAATTGTAGCTCACAAAGAGATTCACATCCAGGTCTCATTGAATCTCCCTAAGAATAGAAGAGGATACCCGAGAGACCTTATTCAACTCTGAGAATAGTCTTCTAGAGAGGACAGTGCTGCTTCTTCAAGGAAAACGTGGGTCTTCATTGATTAGATTGACTTGCCCTGTAAAGGAGCACCACATGGAAGCTGAAGTCCACCTTCAGAGAGGTTTTCTGTCCTGGAAGACTGTGTTGATGCTGTCATCACTCAGGGTGCCGAGCTGGCGGTTTCATCCCTAGTTTCTTTCTCTTTAACAGGCACTTCATACAGATTACTCTGTGCGTGTGTGAATTGTATGGCGGGTGGATGACCTTCTCCCCGGAGTGGCTTATGGGAAGCCCCAACCTCAACACCAACAATTGGCTCTACTTTTGGGTCTACCTGGTATTTTTCAATAGTGTGTGGGTTCTGATCCCAGGACTGTTACTGTGGCAGTCGTGGGTAGAACTCAAGAAAATGTATCCCAAAGGAACCAGCTTAGGGAAAAAGTTCCAATGAATTTTCAAAAATCATAAACATTATTTTCTAGCTTTATGAGCCAGACTGGATTAAACCTTTTTGTTTTGATAAAATTTAATACATTCCAGTCTACAATTTCTTTTATATTGTTATTCCTGAACAACCGACTTCAAATTGATTGTAAGATGGCAAGATTTCGTTGTTGATTTATTTTTCCAGTTAAATGGCAATATAGGGAACAGAGAATAAATTTTAACTTGTAATAATCACATAGTTAATTATACATTTTTATATCTAAGATTAATTGTGCTATGTTAATAAAGCCAATAATCACAAAATACTGTAGAGCATGTTATATTAATTTTTTTCCAAAGAACATGTTGTTGCTTCAACTTTTAATCTTATTAGTCTTTGTTTCCAAAATGAAACCAGCAATGAAATAAATGCTTCTAATTTATATTTTATCAAACTTGTGAAGCCAACAAAAATGACAGCAGTTCAAATTGGTGAGGGGGCCAACTCCTTATGAGTGACATTGGAGTTTCACATAGACAAATGATTGATTTTCAAGAAGGAAGATTTGAGTTACCTTACAGAAATACGTAGTACAGCCCGTCCACTTGCTCCCAACATCAGACCAGTCTTGCAGCTAAACTTGGCTTTAAAAAAAAAAACAGCTGAAGTGTAGCTGGTCTGAAATACTGTAGACAGAGAATGTGGAGAAAGGACAGAAGGAAACATGGAGAGGGTGAGCCAGTTTGCACACCTGCGCAATGTGGGGCAGGCATGGCGGGGAAGGTGCAGCACCAGAGCCACCACCACCTCCACCTCCCCATCCCCCGGGAGGTGGATTCTCGGCCCCACACAGGGATCCCCAATCCAGAGCAACAGAGAAGGAAAGGGGAGCCCATGTAGATTGGGCAGTGGGAATCAGTGGGGATTCAGTCCGGTCCACCTGGAAGTCTCAGACCACACCATCCCAGGCAAAGAAGGATTTCTTTCTTTTGCCCTAACCGGTTTGGCTCAGTGGATAGAGCGTCGGCCTGCGGACTGAAGGGTCCCAGGTTCGATTCCGGTCAAGGGCATGTACCTGGGTTGCGGGCACATCCCCAGTAGGAGATGTGCAGGAGGCAGCTGATCGATGCTTCTCTCTCATCGATGTTTCTAACTCTCTATCCCTCTCCCTTCCTCTCTGTAAAAAATCAATAAAATATATATTTAAAAAATAAAAAAAAAAAGAAGGATTTCTTTCTTACAACATCAGCCTGGGAAGATCCTTGAAATTCACGTGTGAGGGAGGGACCACGTGGCAAAGATTGAGGCTGGCGAAGGGATCTATTTGGTACACCCAGCAGTGAATCTGAGCAGCCCTTTGCTCTCCGGAAGAACTTTGGGCAAAGTGGAAGGGGGCTGGACAGCGTGGCTTGGGAAAGACGATCAGTCTTGCACAACTTGAGCACACGGGTAGCAAACCTACCCCCACCTGCAGAACAGCTGGGTCTTCCCCATTCTTCTGCGACCCGGCAAAGGGGAAGGCCTCTGGGTTGAAAATTTGTACTCCTACGACTGGGTCTGAGGGTGCAAAGGACTCAGCTATTTGGCCGGTGGGAAACTGGGTGGAGGCCCCTCCCAGCGCGGGTCAGACACGCTGAAAGACTGGAGTGCCATGCCAGGCTGATTTTATATTTTCAGCCCCTCCTACTTGGTGTGTCAGCGAGGAGGTACCAGGAAGCCAAACAGAGCTGAGGCATTGCAACCGGAATGAGCTATGGACTGGGAGATAGATGGGCATGTCCTGGGCCCTTCGCTGCATTAGGGGGAACCGAGCTGAGCTCCCCAGGGAGTTCAGCCAGCACAGTCCTAGGAAGGAGAGAAAGTGTCCTTCCGCCCTGCTACAAGCTATGGGCATCACCCGCAGTACAAGTCTGTTTAAACCAAACCGGCCAGGTCATGGAAACCACCGCAGAGCCCAGTTCTGTGGGGGAAGGGAGAGAAGCTGCGAACAGGGGCATTCAATGTATGAGACCCCAAGAAGACCCAGCCTCTGGGATATGGAAGCCCTGCCCACCAGACTAGTTGGGGCTCTGCACTGATGAGCTTCAGTCAGGTTGCCAAGGGCCAGGCAGAGACAGCAACTCACATTGGCTTGCACCAGAGAACCTCTGGGAGGCCCAGACACGCACACCAAGAGGCCAGACTGAGACAGCATCGGAGTAAAATCCAGCGAGTTCCACAAATAGCAGACCCAAAGGGTAATCACAGTGAGCCCCCAAATCAGCGGAGACTAACTCCACTTATTTTTATTATTTTATCTTTCTAACTTTTTATTTTTTTCTTTTGTATTTCATTTTCTTTTAGTTTTTTTCTTCTTTTTCTTTCATGTCTTTTATTTCTCTTTCCATATATTCTGGTTTTTTCCTCTTTTTTCATTTTTACCTTTGTTTTTTTCTCCCTATTTTTCTGTTTTTATTATATATTTTATTTATTATTATTACTTTTAAAATTATTATTATTGTAGTTATTGTTTTCTTTTTTATATTCTTATTCTTTCTCTTCCCTCTTCCTTCTTTCATATTCTCCTTTTTGGTTTCTTTTTTTTTCATCTCTAATTCTTTTACTCTTTTGTCTTTTAGTATTCTATTTATTATTATTATTTGTGGTTGTTTTTGGTGGTGGTGGTTTGTGTTTTTTTGTTTGTTTGTTTGTTTGTTTTCACATTGTTTTCAGTTTGGTCTTGTTTTGCCTGGTTTTGTTCTGTCAGCACTTATATAACAGTTGTCAAAAGGGGTCAGTGTTGAGCCTCACAGTCAGCCAGCCTGAATGTGTCAACAGCAATTAAGACCCAAATACAACAGGAGGGCCCACATAACCCATACAAGGGACATTCCATGAGTACCCATCTCAGAAGATTAAGGAGACTACACCACTGGGTCCCACAAGACACCCACTACAGAAGGCCACCACACCAAGACAGGGAGTTATAGCAGTCCTATCCAATACACAGAAATGGGGAGACAAAGAAACATGACCCAAATGAAAGCACAGGAGGAATCACCAGAAAAAGAGCTAAAGGAAATAGAGGCAAGCAATTTATCAGAAACAGAGTTCAAATTAATAGTTTTAAGAATACCCAACAGCATGAAAAGGGACATAGAAACCATGAAAAACAACCAATCAGAAATGAAGAATGGCACAGCTGAAATAAAGAATACACTGGAAGTAATAAAGAATAAGAGGAAACTGAAGATTGAATCAGCAAATTAGAAAACAGTATAGAAAAAAAATCACTCAGAGCAGCAAAGAGAAGAAATAATTTAAAAGCATAAGGATAATTTAAGGAAACTTTGGGACAGCATGAAACATAACAACATCTGCATCATAGGAGTAACAGAGGGAGAACAAGTGAGCAAAGGCTAGAGAACCTGTTTGAAGAAATAATGACAGAAAACTTCCCTAATCTGGTGAAGGAAAAAGTCATACAGGTTCAGGAAGCACAGAGAGTCCCAATTAAGATGAACCAAGACACATCATAATAAAAATGGCACATGTTGAAGACCAGGAGAATCTTAAGGACAGCAAGAGAGACCAGTCAGTTACCTAAAAGGCAGATCCCATTAGACTGTCAGCTGATTTCTCAACAGACACTACAGGCCAAAGGGAATGGCATGAAGTATTCAAAGTAATGAAAAGCAAGGATCTGAAACCAAGACTACTCTATCCAGCAAGGCTATCATTCAAAATTGAAGGTGAAATAAAGAGCTCCGCAGACAGAAAAAGGCTAAAAGAGTTTATTATCACCAAACCAGCATTGCAAGAAATATTAAAGGGACTGCTGTAAGAAGAAATTGAAAGAGAGAAAGGAACAGAGGCATAGAGAATAAAAATGGCAATAAATAAGTACCTATCCTATATAATAAAAGGCTAATATGCAAATTGTTCCCTTCAGGAGTTTGACCACTCACTATGATGTGCACTGACCACCACGGGGTGGCGCGGAATGAAGGAAGGCCCTGGCTGGCAGCTGGCAGCTAGGGGAAGGAAGGAAGCCCCAGCCGACAGCCAGAAGGCCCTGATAGGCCCTGATCACCGGCCAGGCCTATGGACCCTACCTGTGCACAAATTTTGTGCACCGGGCCTCTAGTCAATATTAACATTAAATGTAAATTGATTAAATGCTCCAATAAAAAGATAAGATATAGGGTAGCTGAATGGATAAGAAAATATATATATATTGTCTATAAGAGACCCACCTCAGAACAAAAGACTCCCACAGGATAAAAATGAAAGGATAGAAAAAATTTCAATGCAAATAGAAATTAAAAAAAAAAAAGCTAGGGTAGCAATACTTATATATGACAGAGTAGACTTTAAAACAAAGGCCATAAAAGAGACAAAGAAGGTCACTACAGGATAATTAGTGATGTTGAGCATTTTTCCATACGTCTCTTGGCCATTTGTATGTCCTCTTTGGAGAAGTGTCTATTCAGGTCCTCTGCCCATTTTACTGCCATTTGACCTAGTGATTCCAATATCCTAAGAAGCCAGAAACACCAATCTGAAAATATATATGCACCCCTATGTTCATAGCAGCATTATTTACAATAGCTAAGATCTAGAAACAGCCCAAGTGCCCATCAATAGATAAATGGATTAAAAAACTGTGTACATTTACACAATAGAGTACTATGCAGCTATAAAAAAGAAGGATCTCTTACCCTTTGAGACAACATGGAGGGGACTGAGGAGTACTCTGCTAAGCAAAATAATCCAGTCAGATAAAGTAAAATATCACTTCATCTCACTATATGTGGAATCTAATGAACAAAATAAACTGATGAACATGCATCTGTTGCTGATGCATGTAACAGACTGACAGGTCTCAGAGGGGAAGAAGTTGGGGTGGACGGGAAGAGATTAACCAAAGAACATATATGCATATATGCATAGCCCATGGATACAGACAATAGTGTGATGAAGGCCTGGGGTGGGTAGGGTTTGGGTGCAAGGGGGCAAGATCGGGGAATGGGGGACATTTGTAATACTGTGTACAATTAAAAAAATATATACATGCCCCAGCTGGTTTGGCTCAGTGGATTATATATTTTGGTTTGACCTGTGGACTGAAGGATCACAGGTTCAATTCTGGTCAAGGGCATGTACCTTGGTTGTAGGCCAGTGATGGCGAACCTTTTGAGCTCGGCATGTCAGCATTTTGAAAAACCCTAACTTAACTCTGGTGCCGTGTCACATATAGAAATTTTTTGATATTTGCAACCATAGTAAAACAAAGACTTATATGTTTGATATTTATTTTATATATTTAAATGCCATTTAACAA